AGAAAGAAAGAAAGAAAGAAAGAAAGAAAGAAAGAAAGAAAGAAAGAGAGAGAGAATAACGTTCTATTCTAAATTTGTGAGACCTGGGTGAGGATTCTGGCCAGCTCACACTTGGTTCCGGTTTTGCAGACCATCTACAACGCCATCAACAATGGCACGCCCTGCGTGATAGTGGAGGGCTCCGGCCGAGTGGCTGATGTCATCGCTCAGGTGGCTGCTCTGCCTGTCTCTGAGATCACCATCTCCCTAATCCAGCAGAAGCTCAGCATCTTCTTCCAAGAGATGTTTGAGACTTTCACAGAAAACCAGATCGTGGAATGGACCAAAAAGGTGAGGGTCATATGCATGTGGTCACCAGGCTGACTCTCAGACACACCAGGACTCCAGAGACCCGAAATGGATCAGAGTGGGTGCATGACTGGATTTGCAGATGGTGAGGGGGCTCTGAGCCCCAGAAGAGGAGAGGTGACCTGGTTGGGCACTGCGAGTTTGAAGCATGTGACAGACAGTATGCCAAAGGAGAACTGGGTTCTGAACTCTATTTGTAGAATGCTAGGGACCCTCTGGGACACTTCACCTTGAGAGTGCTGTTCTGGGACCCAGAGTCTGTGGGAATAAAGGGATGTGGTACTTGAAGAGGGCCAGGAAGCACAGGATGGACCTTGCCTGAGATGCCTGAGGAGCTTACTGGCCACAGCAGTGAGTGGTCCAACCTTGTCTCCTCATAAGAGCACTAAGGAGTGACCTCAGAGGTACCCAGCTCCACAGTCCAGATGCTGGGTTTTGGGGTGGTGCCCTGATGAGACCTGTGGAGCCACCAAACGAATGCCGAATGTGTAGCAAGTGTCTACACTTTTGGTTTATCCCCTGCAAGGCAGGCTGAGTCTCAGAGCTCTGAGCTCACACTCAGAGGTTTACTTACTAAGTGAGCTTCTTGGAGCTTCTTGGGGTGAGTGGGAGCAGTGCTAGGCTCCAGTCAAGCTGAGTTTAGGTCCCACCAGCCATAGGCCACAGGGACATCTGGAGCTAGCTACACCGGAGTCATGGCGGGGCTTGGACTTCTGAACATTGGGAAACCAGGAGCTCTCTGACTGGATAGCTTAGGGAAGCATTTTAAATTTGCCGAGGACTCAGAGTAGCCTTGTTTGGTGTGGATGGTGTGATGGTTTGTATATGCTCAGCCCAGGGAGTGGCACTATTAGGAGGTGTGGCCTTGTTGGAGTAGGTGTGGCCTTGTGGGTGTGGGCTTTAAGACCCTCATCCCAGCTGCCTGGAAGTCAGTCTTCCACTAGCAGCCTTCAGATGAAGATGTAGAACTCTCAGCTCCTCCTGCACCATGCCTGCCTGGATGCTGCCATGCTCCTGCCTTGATGATACTGGACTGAACCTTTGAACCTGTAAGCCAGCCCCAATTAAATGTTATCCTTATAAGACTTGCCTTGGTCATGGTGTCTGTTCACAGCAGTAAAACCCTCACTAAGACATTACTCTGTAGGATTATCCAGTAAGGAAACAACATGAGTTCTGTGAGCTCCTCATCTCCTTCCCTTATCCTCCCTCCCCCCAGCCTCCCCAGTCAGGAAGACCTTTGCTTCCCTGTTGGGTATGCTATGAGCTGTTGGGCAGGCCAGGAGCCTTTTCTCAGCAGCATTATAAATTATTCAGGCAATTCAGAGAACTGAATTTAATCTCTCTCTTTAGCCAAAAGTATTTTTGTTACATTTAGTTGTGTGTGTGTATGTGTGTGTGTGTGGTTTCATGCTTACATGCTGGTGCCACAATGCACACATTATAGATATCAGAGGATACTTTGTGTGAGTCAGGTTTTCCTTCTACTGTATGGGTCCTAGGAGATTGAAGTCAGGTCATCATCAGGCTTGTTGGCAAGTACTCTCACTGTGCCTGCACATGCCCAGACTGGGACATATGGCCCTTGATTTCTTTTGATCTTCAAGGAGACAGAGTATCTCCAGCCCCAAATCTCACTAAAATCCATTCACTGCAGATCCAAGATATTGTCCGGAGGCGGCAGCTGCTGACAATCTTCAGGGAAGGCAAGGACGGTCAGCAGGATGTGGATGTGGCCATTCTGCAGGCGTTACTGAAAGGTGAGGCTAGGGTCGGGCGGGGGGAGAGGGAGGGGGAGAGACCAGAACATGTGGGATCAGGATGAGCGTCAGCATCTCAGTCAGGTGTAGTAGCTGCCCTGCCATGCCCTGCACACCCCTGTCACCCAAGAAACACAGCCAACACCCAGTGAGTTGAAGTCAGTCACCCACACCTATCCCATTACGCTTAAACTTTTCAGAGGCGACAAATCTTGAGAACAACAAAGTGAAGTGACTGTTATCACATACAAAGGAGTCTCAATAAGATACTATGCAGGGGCTGGAGAGATGGCTCAGCGGTTAAGAGCACTGACTGCTCTTCCAGAGGTCCCGAGTTCAATTCCCAGCAACCACATGGTGGCTCACAACCATCTGTAATGGGATCCGATGTCCTCTTCTGGTGTGTCTGAAGACAGCTACAGTGTACTCATATACATAAAATAAATAAATATTAAAAAAGATAATGGGCAGATTTCTAATTAGAGACTTTAGAAAGTGGAAAGTAGAGGGCTGCAAAGTTACAGAAATAAACAAGAACATAGGAAATTTGTAACCACTAGACCGGAGTTACAAGAAATGGTCAGGGGGCCAGCAGGGAGAACTGAAAGTTACTATTTATTCCATAGATGGCAATTCAGAGCCATGTGAAGAAGTAAAGATCAGGAACAGGGAAATTCACAGGCAGTCAAAAAAACGTTAGAGTCAGTAGGCAGTCAAAAAAACGTTAAAGTCAGTGTAACACTTATAATTGCAACATTTGTTTTCTTTAACACATAGGAGGTTAAGACAGTAACAGTTACTAGTCGAAAGGTTAGTATTCTAAGCCAGGTCTCAGGGGTCATGCTTCCAATCCCAGAACTTAAGAGCCTGAAGCAAAAGATTCATTGCCAAGTTCAAGGTCAGGCTGGGCTATATAATACTTTGAAGATTAACCTGGGTAGCCTTCGAGGGAGCTTACAAGACGTCACTATGGCAAACTCCGTTTATAAGAGGGACTTAGAGTAGATAAGCATAGAGAAAGAGGTGGAGCCACCAGAGTGGGTGAGGAAGGGCCAGGGAAGCATTCCTGGGGAGACATCAACAAACCATCTGCTCACCTCAGATAGGGAACCAATGACAGATCAAAGTAACACTACTACCAAACTCCAATTTGGTAAACCAATGAGTTGATTGAGGTTACTTAGACGAGTGTGGGTGAGAATGTACTCACAGGAGCATGGATGACTCAGAGGCAGGGGCATCATCACTGAAAGGCTACTCCAGTATGGGTGACGACTCAGGAAAATGCATCTCTGGGACTCTTTGTACCACTTGCAGGCAGCTGCATGGGTGGAAACATCTCCTTGTCTCAGCATTCCTTTATTGCTTATATAATCCTGGGAAGTAATGGGCCTTGTGAGTTTGGTGAGTTTCAGGGACTTCCTGAGTCTTACTGAGTTTCCTTCCAGGAAGGAGGTTTCAGCTGGAAAAAAGTACTACATAATAGGGGGCTGGGGACCGGCCTGGACAGATACAGAGTCTCAGTGTGGTTTCAGTATGGTTTTTCCTGGTGTATTTCCTGTGGCGTGGAGAATGTTTCATGGCCTCTGTTGTCATTTTCTCTCCCCCTTGGCGACTGATATGAGTTCTCTGTCCGACGTTTGAAGTGGAAAGTCGTTCCTTGGTTTGTGGGTTGCAGCCACATTTTCTTCAAGTGGCTTTGAAGAATAGAGGGATTAGCTCTCATGGTTTATGAGCCTCCCCTCTGTAGTTTGTGTTCTCTGTGTCCAGGCTCAGAACTCTGCCTGCCTCAAGGGTGCTGACTGTCACTGATGTAACTTTATACACCCAGTCTGTCTCAGCACCCTATTGTGTGGTGTGAGGGAGGCGAAACTGTTTTTGTTTTTCTCCAAATAGAAATCTATGGGCTTGTGGACCTGAGTTCTGATCTCCAAAACACACACACACACACACACACACACACACACACACACACACACAGTTAAGGCAGAGAACAGGCTTAGGAATGTTTGGCTGATATGCATTCCTGAGAATTTGGGTGGTATGGCTGCTGCAGAATGGAGATGAAGGTGGCGTGTGTGTGTGTGAGTATGTTTGTGTTTGTGTGTGTTTGTATGTGTGCATGTTTGTGTGTGTATGTGTGTGTATGTGTCTGTGTGTGTTTGTGTGTATGTCTATTTGTGTCTGTATGTGTCTGTGTGTGTATGTGTGTGTGTCTGTGTGTGTCTGTGTTTGTGTGTGTGTCTGTGTGTATATGTGTGTGTTTGTGTGTGTGCCTGTGTATGTTTGTGTGTGGATATCTCTGTGTGTTTGTCTGTGAGTGTATGTGTGTGTTTGTGTGTGTGTGCGCATGTGTGTTTGTGTGTCTGTGTGTGCCTGTGTGTATGTGTGTGCATGTTTGTGTGTGGATATATCTGTGTGTATGTGAGTGTATGTGTGTGTATGTGTGTGCATGTTTGTGTGTATGTGAGTGTATGTGTGTGTTTGTGTGTGTGTGCATGTGTGTGTTTGTGTATCTGTGTGTGCATGTATGTGTGTATTGTGTGTCTGTGTGTGTAAAGTTTGCCCTGAGATTCTCTGAGCCTAACAGTGATTAAATGTGCTTCTCAAGGTGGGTGTCAGCCCTGAGCTATGAGTTCGCCTTGAAGTCTTTATGGGAACTAGAATTCCTGGACAACTCCTGAGCCTGGCACCAACCAAGCCTCAGGTAGAGGTACCTGACACACACTGTCACCCACAGCCTCTCGAAGCCAAGACCACTTCGGCCACGAGAACTGGGACCATCAGCTGAAGCTGGCCGTGGCCTGGAACCGAGTGGACATCGCTCGCAGTGAGATCTTCACCGACGAATGGCAGTGGAAGGTGGGGTATCGTGTGCAAATGGGGGTGTGTCGTGTGCAAATGGGGGTGGTGTGCGTTTCTGCAGGGTTCCAGCTCTGCCTTGGGACTTTGACCAGGGCTCCATCCTTCAGGACAGATATCCCACCAGCTTCTCCTAGGGGCCTGAGCTCAGAGTTCCGGGAGGCGCTGACTTAGTGTGAGCATCACTGAACAGTGCTCCCTCTCAGCCTGCAGATCTGCATCCCATGATGACCGCTGCCCTCATCTCCAACAAGCCTGAGTTCGTGAGACTCTTCCTGGAGAATGGGGTGAGGCTGAAGGAGTTTGTCACTTGGGATACCCTTCTCTGCCTGTACGAGAACCTGGAGCCATCCTGCCTCTTCCACAGCAAGCTGCAGAAGGTGCTGGCCGAAGAACACGAGCGCTTAACCTACACACCCACGAAACCCCGGCTGCACATGCACCACGTGGCCCAGGTGCTGCGTGAACTCCTGGGGGACTCCACGCAGCTGCTGTACCCCCGGCCCCGGTACACTGACGGTCGGCCACGGCTTTCGCTGCCCATGCCACACATCAAGCTGAACGTGAGTGCTGGGAATGTGGGCGTTAGTGATGCTGGATGCTGGTGTCGGCGGTGCAGGGATAGGCTGGTCATGTGCAATGTCTGGCTTCCTGGTGGATGGCCACTGTGTCCCCAGCTGGGTTGTGAGCGCTTACAGTCATTAGAAAATGAACTGCTAGGTGTGTAGGGGGTGCGGGGGAGGAGTGGGGGGGTGGGGGATGCCTATAATTTCAGCCCTCAGGAGGCTGAGGTAGGAAGAGGAAGAGTTCAAGGCCAGCCTGGGCTACAGGATGAGGTAGTCCACGGAGGTAGTCTCAAAGAAAGAAAGGGAGAGAGAAAAGAGAGAGAGAGAAAAAAAGCACAATCAGTTGGCCATACAAACGAGCCCAAAACAATGGACTCTGCACTCTGTCCTCGAAGGTGTGGGTGATTTGAAATACAGACCTTAAACAATAACAAAAAAACTATTTTCACATAGTAATGGAGGCTGAGGTCTGAGGACAGCGACAGGGCTGGTTCCTGCAGAGACAGACCTCTCTCCCTGTCCTGCAGGAGGGGAGTCTTGCTGAATCTTTATATGGGAAAATGGTTGGAAATACCCTCCTCACTTAAACCCCAAAGGCTCTAGAATAACCTCGTTTTGACTTAATTACCTCTGGAAACATCTATAGTTGTTATTTTCCCTCCTCATTGAAACCAAATACCTGACCTCCCCTCCTCCCCACAAAAAGAAGTTTTGGGAGGAAGACTTTATTTTGACTCAGTTCCAGGGCACATCTTGGTGAAGTCATGCCGGCAGGATCCTGAGGCAGCAGGTCACCTGGCACCTCCACTCAGGAAGCAAAGACAGAGATGAACGCTAGGGATCAGCTCACTTTTCTTTTTTCACTCAGCCTGTGGCTCGTGCAATGGTGCCACGTGCGTTCACTTAAACCCCAAAGGCACACCCATGTTGATGTGTGTATGTGTCTGTGTGTATGTGTGTGTTTGTGTGTGTGTGTGCATGTTTGTACATGTATGTGTCTGTGTGTATGTCTGTATGTATGTGTTTGTATGTGTGTCTGTCTGTATGTGCATGTATGTGTGTATTGTGTGTCTTTGTGTATCTGTGTGTATATGTGTGTGTATGTATGTGTGTGTGTGTGTTGGCTTTTGGAATTCTGCTTTGCATGTTACTATAGATGAATGCTTTTTAGAGCCCTGTATCTTCTTCTATTGTGACTTATGCTGTGGTCCACCTGTCACAGAGGGGCTTGGCATGCCTGGAAGGTGACCCAACATGGGGAGATGGGGCAAACCAGAGGTCTGTCCTTTAGGTGGTTCCGTATCCCATCAGCCAGGACAAATTGCCGAGATGTCTTGTCTTTGAAGTTCCACGTTGCAGATTTAGGCTTCGACATAGCACCTTTAGAGGGGCTCAGTTTGCTTGTAATACCCCCATTCTAAAGCTGGGAAGACAGGATTCTCAGGGAGAGCACCTTCCCTCTACCCCCCGAGCCCCAAGTCTCACTATGTGCCTGGACTGACAGGAAGCACCATGTGTCTTGTCAAGGGAGGTGTAGCATTTACACTTGCACTTTAGCTGGGGTCGACATCAGGAGGACTTCATGCTTCTTTTCTGTTTATGGCTTGAGTCTGGTGAATTGGAGTACATGTGTGTGCATGCATGTATGCGTGTGTGTTGTATATGCATTTGGACCTGTGTGTGTCTGTACATGGAGGTTGATGTTGGGTATCTTCACCGATTGCTACCACCTAATTTTGAAGACAGGGTCTCTTACTGATTCTGTAGTTTGCTGTTTCAGCTAGCCTGACTGGCCAACTCTGGGAGGCCTCCTGTCTCTGCTACTCAAACACCAGCATGCTTGCACACTTTTCTTCCCACGTGGGCTGTGAGGATCTGAACTAACCTCCTCAGGCTTATATGGGAAGCTCTTTATCCACTGATCCATTTCCTCAGGCCCCTAGTAAATCATTTAATTACATTCCAAGAGTGATGTGTGCCCTCTCTCTGTGACATCACAAGAGAGGACACACACTGCCCACCATCTTGGGGTCTGATGCTGGGAATGTCTTTGGGACATAGATTGTTCTTTGCCTTTCAGGTGCAGGGAGTGAGCCTCCGGTCCCTCTATAAGCGATCAACAGGCCATGTTACCTTCACCATTGACCCAGTCCGAGATCTTCTCATTTGGGCCATCATTCAGAACCACAGGGAGCTGGCGGGCATCATCTGGGCTCAGGTACCAGGCCTGGCTTAGTTGCAATATTTAGACTGGTGGTCTGAGTCAGAGGCTCGCTTCCCACAGCAAATCACAGCTCACGGCTGTGCAGCACAGTTACGATCTCTAAGCCAGAGAGGCTTGGGGCACCTAAAAGTGAGAAACAAGAAACTCTGGTGGAAAAAATAATTCTTAAAGACAGAAAGAAAATGAAGGAGAGATAAAGGCCCTGTAAGCAATCTGTTATGGTTAGTTCCAGGGCTTATGATGTAGGTAGTGTTGTTCTCTATGACTTGCCTGGGTCCCTGTTAGTTATACCTATTGGACAAACAAGTACACAATACCCATGGGTCTGTGCAAGAGGCCGCCATCAGAAGTTATGTGCTAATGTGACATGACTCAAGCTGTTTATATGAACAGGGCCCACACAAACTTGGGATTCTAAGTAGCTCCGTTCACTAGCATAGGTTTCTCGGAGCAGGGTGGGTAAACGTAGCTAGTCCTGTGGGTCCTCACAGTGTCCTTGTGTCCCAGAGCCAAGACTGTATCGCCGCAGCATTGGCCTGTAGCAAGATCCTGAAGGAGCTGTCCAAGGAGGAGGAAGATACAGACAGCTCTGAGGAGATGCTGGCACTGGCGGATGAATTTGAACACAGAGCTATAGGTAAGCCTCCTGGGGCCACCTGCACTGTCACTGGCATCTTTGTCTCTGCATGTCAGCTCTGATGTTGTTGATTAGAGTCCTTGTCCATGATCTAGATGTTTCGGGACAGTACTGATATATTAGCCTTGCCTTTGCTGCGGGTATCACTTGAAGGGCCTGCTCTCTGATTGTCCCCAGGCGCTGAGTATGTCTTCCTCTTCTCCTCAGGTGTCTTCACTGAGTGTTACAGGAAGGATGAGGAAAGAGCCCAGAAGCTGCTTGTCCGTGTGTCTGAGGCCTGGGGGAAGACCACCTGCCTGCAGCTGGCCTTAGAGGCCAAGGACATGAAATTCGTATCTCACGGAGGCATCCAGGTTATTCCCCGAGGGCCTGCTTCCAGAGCCAGATGCTTAGGTGGTCACAGCTCTGACTCCGATGACATGGCTGTTCCCAGCAATGCAACTCTTTGATGACTGGGAGACTGCCTGATATTTAGCCATAGGTGGATGGACAGGCACTTGTCTCCTGGTTTGGGGATGGGCAAACTGGCACACAGCAAAGTATGTGGCTGGTGGCCCCGGAGGCAGCAGTTCAAATGTCAGGTGGCCTCAGTGTAGTTTCCAAGAGCCCGTGTCACCTAAGGGGGGGGTCTCAGGAAGAACAGGGGGACAGCGTAGCCTTCATGGGACCTTAAGGACCAGAGGACATAGTCCTTTATTGATTGGCTATTCTTAGAGCACAGGCTTGTTCTGTGATCATGACTATAGAAATCCATGTGTCCTGGGCTGTGCAGAGACTGGGGATACCCAGGGAGGAATCCAACCTGGCCCATGGAACTGAAAAGGGTCTACTTATGACTGCCTGGGATTGGATGCTCTTGGGACCTTGCAGAGATCGGGAATCCTGCAGCTGGAGGAGGGATGGCAGGCAGGAGGGAAGTCAGAGCCCATGTAATAAGTTCTGCTTCTCCACCATGCACAGTGGCCTGCCTCCAATCACCCCAGCCCCCATTCCTCTGCTGGCTGACAGTGGGGTACCTGTCACGCTGGACACCTGCGGTCAGGGGTTCAGAGCACTGTGGTTATAAGGATGTGACCATTGCTTATCCTTGGGTGGTTGGGGTCTTGGGTGGGTTAGGGTCAGGCCTCTGGGTACCCACTGTCCTGAGACCCCACCCTGTCTACAGGCTTTCTTAACCAAGGTATGGTGGGGCCAGCTATGTGTGGACAATGGTCTGTGGAGGATTATCCTGTGCATGCTGGCCTTCCCGCTGCTCTTCACCGGCCTCATCTCTTTCAGGTGAGGAGGAGGGACCCCTAGAATGTACAGGAAATGGAGGAGTACAACCAATGGTACCACATTAGGTCAAACTTCAATGCACTGAGTTTTCTGCTGGATACTGGATGGTGGTGGTGCTGATGAGTCTGTCGCTTGACCTCAGCTCCATGGCAACAGGAAGCCTGGAGTAGATGAGCGTAGCCTTGGTCTTCCAGCCAGACTGGATGGAAGACTGAAGACCAGGCCTGGCTATGCTTCACTTGTGGTTACCTTAGAGCACATGGACTCTTGTTAAGATGTCATCTTTGTTTTGGTAGACAGTGCCGCTGGGTTCTCCCTGGGAGTTCAGGGACAGATACCAAGCCCCAGCCCGGGTGGCCAGTGGGAAGCTCTCTCATAGACAGAGATCACATGGTCCGTCACCCTCTCACAGCCTGATTGATGGAAATGTGTCCTAGGGGAAACTGAGGCACTGAGGAGCAGTCTCAGTCTGCCCTGCCTTCTGGATTCCCACCCTGCACAAACCTAGGAAGACCAGAAGTCAATCTCATCCTGCCCGGGGTCATGGGCATCACTGTGCGACCTTTGTAGTGTCTTCTCCTTCCCTGAGAGGAACAGGGCTGAGCTGAACAGAGCTGAGCCTGTGTTTCCAATAGCAACTGTGACAAAGCTGCACATTAGCGCACAGGTCTTGGTCACCCTGTTAGACTGACCCTTAAGGCAGTAATGGTAGCTGGTCCTGATTTGTGAGGGCACCTAACCCAGGTCAGGCTCACAACTAAGCATGGCCCTGGATAGAGGCTGTGAGGTCCACAGGATGTATAGAGATTCAATGTATAGAGAAACCTTTTGGGCCTATTCAAGTTTTAGGGTCTTTACTGTCAAGGCTGTCTTGCTGGCCTGTCTATAACTGCTAAGTGACCTTGAGTATCAGGAGAGCTGATCTTTTCTCAGTACATTTGCCCCTCGAGCAAGGGTGAGTGGGGATCCCGGGGATCAAAGTCTGTGGGATGTCACAGTCACCTGATGTGTCTTCTCCTACAGAGAAAAGAGACTGCAGGCACTGTGCCGCCCAGCCCGGGTCCGTGCCTTCTTCAACGCGCCCGTGGTCATCTTCCATCTGAATATCATCTCCTACTTTGCCTTTCTCTGCCTGTTTGCCTATGTGCTCATGGTGGACTTCCAGCCGTCACCATCCTGGTGCGAGTGCCTCATCTACCTGTGGCTCTTCTCCCTGGTGTGCGAAGAGACACGGCAGGTACTCATTGCTCTCACATCAAGAGTCTGTTAACAACCGAGCCTTACCCAACTCCCTGCCCCAGGTTGCTGGGCAGAACCCCAGGAGGCAGGTACCTAACCCTCCACTTGGGAGCTTTGCCTCTATGGCCTGGCTGCCTTGTCTGAGGCTGGGCTTCTGGACCTTTCCAAGGCAAACCACTCATGACTGACCTCAGTTTCCAGTGCTACCAGAGGTTGAGCTGGTTCTGGGTGGCCCAAGGTCTCCCACTTGCCTAATCACATTCTATGGTCACCTATGAGTAGGCGTGTCTCCCCACAGTGCCAGCTGTGGGGTTCTGTGTGATCATTTGCAAAAGACTTGGGCTGACGGAGAGCCATGGATGTCGTTATGGGTCACTCCACATAAAGGGTTTAGAATAAAACGTGCCAAACACAGAGGTACCGGTCCACCCAAGGACTGCTGCATCAGAGTATCCAGAGGTCTCTTTCCTGGGGCAGAGGCAGAACTTGATGCTCCCTGCTAGGATGTGTAATGACATTCAGGGCCAGTGTCATTCAAGCATCTTCTGCAGGCTACAGGGTCCAGGGTTTGCACTGGGGGCCAGTCACACAGACGTGACTCTGTCCTCATGGCTGATCTGTCTCTAGTCCCTTTAGAGTCAAACTAGTCCTGAGTGACGTGAGTCCTATATGACCACCTGGACTAGCTCCCACTCCTGATAAAGAGGATGCTACTGGGAGGCTGGATAGTCCAGGGACTTGAGGTCACCTTCTAGAATAAAGGCCTTCATGACCACTGAACAGACTAACTCTTCACTCAGTTAGGGTCCCACTGTATCCTTGTGGTACCAGATTATATTGGGTGGTCAACTTCCTGTTGGGAGACTCAAAGAAGAAAGAGGAGACCCCAAGAAGGAACTGTGGGGCTGGAGCTGGATGAGGCAAGAGCCATGTTGAGGGTCTGAAAGTTTGGGCCTCCTCAGCCTCCGTAGGGAGACCCTCTATGAGGATCAGAGCTTCTGTGTCCCCTGAACTCACGTCACCCAGCAGCCCCAAGATAGAGGGCTGTGTGTCTTAGAATCTGTCCCTCAGGCCTAGGGAAAAGACATGCCTTTGTTGGGGGTGCCGTACCAGAAAAGTGTGAGGATTACCGCCAGGCAGACTGTGTAAGGATCCTGGGGTCTCTTCCAGGCTCCCCGTTTCTGGGCTGTCTCAGAAAGCAGGCACCATTCTGGATAGAGCAAAGATACTTGTGGGAGGTGCTGGTGGGAAGGAGGGAGGTTCTCTTGAGCATGGTGCCTGCGCCTGCGCACGCGCGCAGAGGGAGGGATCCTTTGCTGGTAGCGGGGAGGAAGGTTCTCTTGAGCATGCGCGCGCACACACACACATGCTCATGCGCACACATGTACACACAGGTTTAATAGCATCCCTGGTCCATGGGAGACTAGCAGTGAAGTCTGGTAGGAACTTACCGCCATTCGTGCTGTTCGTTGGACTTGTTGAGTCCCGAGGTCCACCCTGTGTCCCGCTGGCCCCCACCATAGTCAAGATCTCTCCACAAAGGGCTTTGCTTATATGGCACTGATGGAGATGTTGGGCCTCTCCTAACTGTGGTCTCCTCAGTAGCTATTCTACGATCCTGATGGCTGCGGGCTGATGAAGATGGCGTCCTTGTACTTCAGTGACTTCTGGAACAAACTGGACGTTGGGGCTATTCTGCTCTTCATAGTAGGGTTGACCTGCCGGTGAGTAGCCAGGGTGGCCCCTCCTTCTCCCTGCATGGCACCTGAACCCAGCCAGTTTAAGAGAAGGCAGGGAGCTGGCTTGACCCCCGACAGGTGATCTTTGAACCCCCAACTCTTGCCTGTCTGTGGATGGCCCAGACCATGCTTGCCCTTGGCACTGATGGAGAGATGGTATTGAAGTGTGTGACTTCTCTTTATCAATCTTGGGTTGCTCTCATATGCAGGGACCACCAGTTATATTGTTTGTCTGAGCTTTTCAGATACAAAGTCTCCCCTTTGCCCCTTGCTGCTGGGTTACACCCCACTCATGACAGTTGTGTATCTGAGACGTGGTGGCCCTCTCCCTTCTTGAAGTGGGACAGGTATGACCAAGGCTCCTCAGTTATTTCTTGGATGTCCTTGTACCTGAGTTTTTAGACTCTACTGAAGTCAACTCAGTTCTCTATAGATAATCTGCCCTCGACGTCACCCTCGCCTTTGATGTATTTAGGCCTGGCTCCTCCAGAGCCCTGTACCTCCAAGGACCCCAAGCTAGGGAGAGGTGTTGGAAACCTCTGCCTCCTGGCATGCAGAGCCTGAGGTGGTGTCCTGCCTACAGGCTCATCCCAGCGACGCTGTACCCTGGGCGCATCATCCTGTCTTTGGACTTCATCATGTTCTGTCTCCGTCTCATGCACATCTTCACGATTAGCAAGACACTGGGGCCCAAGATCATCATCGTCAAGCGGATGGTGAGAGCACAAGGGCCTGACCTTGTCTGGAACGCATGGCCACTGAGAGGGAAGCTGAGAGCTGTGCTCATCATGAAGAATGTAGGAAGGGGCGGAGCTTACCATTTGTATTAGGTCTCGCCTCTGCCTCATTCCCAGAATCTATGAATGTCGCTCATGCTGTTGTCTGGATGCCGCCTTCTCCTGGCTGCCTTCCATATTTCTCATTTCACAGCCCCAGCATGGACCCCATTGCTGTTCAGAATGCAAGCCCTTTATTCTTCAGGTCAACATTGATCCCATTCCATGTCTTGGGGTACCCCCTATGAAGAGCACAGTGTGCTCTGTGGGGTTGCATGAAAGCCCTGGGATATTCCCCAGCATCCTGCATCTGTATCCAGGTGATATCGGGGAGAGGGCATCCAGGGTGCAGCCCGTTGTTTCTCTCTCTGCAGATGAAGGACGTCTTCTTCTTCCTCTTTCTCCTGGCGGTGTGGGTGGTGTCCTTCGGCGTGGCCAAGCAGGCCATCCTCATCCACAATGAGAGCCGCGTGGACTGGATCTTCCGTGGGGTTGTCTACCACTCTTACCTCACCATCTTTGGGCAGATCCCAACCTATATTGACGGTAGGAGCCAGGTTGTGGGTATCTAAGGGGCAAGAGGGTGGGGGCTCCCTAGGATTCCCAAAGAGTCCAAGGTTGCAGGAGGGGATGGGGTTCACTTCCAGCCAGGCTGTGTGGCTAAGGACTGGGAAAATCTGGGGCTCCATTGGGTCAGCTTGCCTTGGATGGTGATAGCTCTCAACAGACAGTAAACACTACCTGCATTTCCCCATTGATGAGAAGCATATGAACAGGAATTTAAACTATGCCAGAGATGTACGGGGCACAGCTGACAGTCACCTGATCCCTCTTTCCCTCACCCCCATAGTCAGAAATTACTTCTTACTCTCTGACAGAAAGATGACTTTTGTGTGTGTGTGTGTATGTGTGTGCGCATATGTGTGTTTTGTCTGTGTGTATGTATGTGTGTGTGTGCGCGCACACGCATATGTGTGTACATATGTGTGTTTTGTCTGTGTGTATGTATGTATGTATGTGTGTGCATGTGTGTTTTGTCTGTGTGTATGTATGTGTGTGTGTGTGTATCTGTGCTCGTATGTGAGCCCGTGTGTGCATGTACAGGTATGAATGTGAGCATGTGTGTGTGTGTAGGTGCGCACGTGTGTGTGAGTGCATGTGTAAGTGTGTACACATGTGTGGTGTCAGAGGACAACTTCAGGTGTCATTTTGTAGGAGCCACTCACCTTGTATTTTTATGTTTTCCTTCATTTCTATTCTACACGTATGAGTGTTTGAGTCTTCACACGGCTGTGAGCATCTATGTGGGTGTTGGGAATCGAACCCAGGTCCTCTGGAAGGACTCTTAACTAATTGAGCCATCTTTCCAGTCCCTCAGTTTTTTGAGACAGGATCTCTCAGAGGGCTAGAACTTGCCTGGTCCCAGGGATCCACCTGTCTCCTCCTTGGCTCTGGTTTTGAAAATGTGAGAGATAACACCTGGTTTTTAACATGTGTTCTGAACACACGTCCTCATGCCGTGAGGGAGGTATTTTACCATTCCCCAGTCCATATGCATTTCATTTTGTTGTTGCTGGTTTTAACCAGCATCCTTCAGGTAGACTTCTCACATCACAGCTACCCACAGAAGGTCCACACAGGACACATGAACCGTGTCTTACGGACGCTAGCTTCAGACACCATCCCATCAACAGTCGCTGCCCTCCTCCCTCAGTCCTAGAAAGCCCCCCTCCGCTGCCACCCACACATTTACCCTCTGGGACATCGGGACATGTCACACATGTCACACAAGCTAGAGCTAAGGTGGTGTGAAGTTGGCTTCATCTGGCTTTGTCACCCGGTGCCATGTTCAGGGTTCCTCGGGGGCAGGGGTAGCAGGTATCAGCAAGCATTTCATTCAAGTTTATCGGTTAGTTGTATTTCTTGGCATGGATGGAACACCTTTTAGTTATCCGTAAGCAGGGACCACTTGCATTCGATCTGGTTTTTGGCTACTGTGGCTGCTACCGGTGTGAACTCGTGTGTCTGTGCTCCCGTGTGGGTGTGGTTAACTCTGCTGACACGCCAAGTTGCTTCCACGGAGGATACATGCTTCAGTCTCTTCACGTTCACACTTGAGACTGTCGGGTGGGTGTCGGCAGTGTCTTCTTGTGGATTTGATTGACATTTCTCTAATGGCTTCTGTGGACCTATTTCCACATGCTTGCTTACTGGACTATTTGTGCAACTTCTTAGGAGAAATATCCATTTATGTCTAGTGTTCATTTTCTCTCTTCCATTATATTTTTTATTATTGAGGCTTTTAAGACTTTTATCCTAAGGCCAGTTTGCAGCATTTACTGTTATGACAGGGCTTGTCTTTCTATTTTATTTATGAAAAGACAGCTTTCTCTGAAACATAGAATTTTAATGAGGTGCAGCTTGATTTATAAAGATCTCCACTGTATCACAGTGGAGAAGTCACTGCCAAACCCAAGACTCAAAAGATTTACGAGTGTGTTTGTCTTGTGAGGGTTTGTAGCTTTTGATTATTCTGTTGGCTTCCTACCCATTTGCAAAAGACTAGCATTCAGCCCCGCCCCATTGGTGACACTGTCCTGGCTCCCTCTGCAGCCACGGGTCTGCTTTATCTACACACGTCCGTGTGTGAGATAAGGGTTGTTCTTGTATTTCTTTTGTTATTTTATATGTATTGGTCTTTTGTTTGCATGTATGTCTGTGCATTATGTGTGCTTAGTGTCCAGGGAGGCCAGAAGAAGGCACCAGATTCCCCGGAAACGGAGTTAGAGATGGTTGTGGCTGCCATGTGGATGCTGGGAATTGAACTCAGATCCTCTCGAAGAGGATTCAGTGCTGTGTCTTCAGTCCCTGTGGGTAGGCAGGTCTCACTGCATAGCCCTGAAACTGTCAGTGAACCCCCTGCCTCTGCATCCCCAGGACTGGCACTCTATGCATCACCGGGCTTGGAACAATTATTCTTTCCCATGTGACTGTCCCTTGTCCCAGCAGCATTAGTTGTCAAGCATCCCCCACTGAGTTGTCCTGGCTCCCTGTGAAAGTCTGAAGCTGTTAAGTTCAGTCTAGGGGTATGGTATTCTTTTTTAGTGTGTGTTGCTGTTATTTTTCTTTTATTTTTATTTTTTTAAAGATTTATTTATTTTTTTATTTCTATGAGTACACACTGCAGCTATCTTCAGACACACACTAGAAGAGTGCATCGAATCACATTACAGATGGTTATGAGCCACCATGTGGTTCCTGGGAATTGAACTCAGGACCTCTGACAGAACAGTCAGTGCTCTTAACCACTGAGCCATCTCTCCAGCCCTCTTTTTATTTTTTTATTCCTATTATTTTTTTAGTTTATTTTTAGCGTGTGTTTGTGTATGTGTGTGTGTGTGTGTGTGTGTGTGTGCACGTGCACATGATAGTAGTGCCCGCAGTGTCTAATTCCCCAGGAGCTGGAGTTCTAGCCATTGAGCGCCACCTGGAGCTCGTACTGGGAACTGCGCTTGGGTCCCCTGGAAGGGCAGTACTCTAACCTGCCGAGCTGCCTCTCTGCCGCCCAGTTATTTCTCTTAAAATCTTTTCCTTCTAATTAAACTTCTCAGGGTCAAGACCCATGCACTGATGACTGTAGCCATGAGAAGTGTCCTGGGGGGGGGAGAGGGGAGAGAGAGAGGTGCATCCTGGGGTGCAGGGTGCCAACCTAGAAGACAGCTCTGGCTCCAGGCTCTCAGCTCCCCTAAACAGTCCACTTCCTGCTTGAGGATATCCCAGTACAGATGGTCCTCTTCTCTGGCATTGGACCCAGCCCCTAACTCCTGGGATGCAGATGTTCAAGCCTGTAGGGACCTTCAGTGACCCAATGACCAAGGTCCCTGTCACCCAGTTCCCGGTAACTGACTGTATTCTTTATTTATGTTTTTGGTTGTCTTGGTAACTGACTGCATGGTTTTTGGTTGCCCCTTCCCGTTTCCCCCAAAGGCGTGAATTTCAGCATGGACCAGTGCAGCCCCAATGGCACGGACCCCTACAAGCCAAAGTGTCCTGAGAGCGACTGGACAGGGCAGGCACCTGCCTTCCCCGAGTGGCTGACGGTCACCCTGCTCTGCCTCTACCTGCTCTTTGCAAACATCCTGCTCCTTAACTTACTCATCGCCATGTTCAAGTGAGTGTGGGCTCCTGTGCAGGGCAGGCCTCTCCTGGGCTGGCGCATGCGCAGGCAGTCACGTGACAACCCGATGGAGTGGGTGGGGCCAGCATGCCATCCTGTCTGTGTCACCGTTCCTAGGGGCCCAGAAGCCCCTGTCTGTTTTATAATGGCAGCGCTCAATCTGGTTTGTTCTTAATCAGCCGCCATCTTCCTGACTAGCCTAGGCCTGAGAATACGCCACAGCTGCTCGGCTCATGCAGCCAGAGACACTGGCCCTGTTACCTACGAGACGCCAGCGTGGGAGATGGCTCTGCCAATCTTCCACGCTGTCTCCTCAAGGCTGAGCTCAGCCCAGACCATCCCGCCATCCGCACGGCACCCGGTAGAAATGAGACTCTAATGCTTAAAGATTATCCAAAGGCTTTATATGTTTGGTAATGCTCAAATAACAAGATTCCCACGCAATTAAAAGTGTTAACCAGTTAACTAACCTAGATATAAGTTGTTAGCCAGGACTGCTCTCGGTACATGCGTGGTCATCCGTGGCACCTACATCTCAGCCTCCCCAGCTCCTCCTCTTCCTGTCTCCTCTTCCTCTCTTTACTCCTCCCACCTTAGCTCCTCCCAACTTGTGGGAAAATATGCCGCTACACCCACTTCAATGGTTTATGTTCCTGAATGAAACACACACACACACACACACACACACACACACACACACAGCCTTTATATTTAATGTGCCTTAGGCAGCACAGTCGCTGGGCTACTGCCTATCCTCTGTGCTGTTAGAATCTCCCTCTCCCTTCCTCCAATAGTTCCCAGTTACTACTTCCATAGTCTCTGTTCCATCTGGGCTGCTCTAGACCCAGTTGAGCAGCCCTCTGGGCTGCGTTCTCATGGTCCCTTTACAAGGGTGTCTCTGCTTCTCTCTCCTGCACACTCCTCAGACATAGTGTCTCTCTTTCCTCTCTTCCTCCTCCAAGTCCCAAGTCCCGGGAACCCTAAATCCTGCCTCTGACTCTCTCCTCCACAGCCATTAGCTGCTGGCATCTTTATCAACCAGAATCAACTGGGGGCAGGTTCCCAGAAGCTACATGCAGACGCTCTCATGTAAACAGTTTTGGGGACCCACTTAGCATTAGAATATAAGCAGCTACATTGGTCCACTGACTCTGGATCCTTCTCCTACTCTGCTAGGGACCAGCTCAACCATGGAAGGTCCAACCTGTCCATAGTAAAACCCTTGAACCCTTGGATTCCTGTCTTAGCAGACAGGTTCTGGGTGGCTGAGACCTTTGGAAGTCCTTCTGTTGTGGTGTGCGCCATGCACTCTTTTCTTCCCAGCTGAGTTCAGGGGCTGCCCCTTTCATTTTAGAGTATTCTAAACCTTAAGAACCACACGTGCTAACTATATCTGAGGTCAGGGTAAGAGGTATGGGTAGGGAGTAGGAAGAACTCTGTCCCTTAGACAGGAAAAGCCATCTGACAAAGTGGTACATGTCTCTTCCCCTGCTCCTGGGTCTCCATGTCAGACTTGGGTACCTGAAGTACCCATGACACCATCTTATGCTTGTCCAAAGCACTAGATACACACATTAGCTCTGTCTAGCCCCTTCCCAATGCTGTCATTGCTTATTCCTGATTCCTGAATACAGATCTAAAATCCTGATGATTTCCTGTTCCTCACCTGCTCCCAGAAGCTGGCTGCCTCTCGGCGTTTGGTGTGCTTTCTGCTCACCTGCCTCTGCTATTCCAGGCTAGACTGCTGTATCCCACAAACATTCTGATACCTCTGCCTCCCACTAGCTATACCTTCCAGGAGGTGCAGGAACACACAGACCAGATCTGGAAGTTCCAGCGCCACGACCTGATTGAGGAGTACCATGGCCGACCCCCGGCCCCTCCCCCATTCATCCTTCTCAGCCACCTGCAGCTCCTGATCAAGAGGATTGTCCTGAAGATCCCTGCCAAGAGGCACAAGCAGCTCAGTGAGTTCCCTTGTCCCCAAACTGCAGTCCCACTATTCTGGGTGCAGGCGTGAGTGTGAGGTTTCTTACAGAGCCCTGGACAGTCAGTAGGCATGCTAAGTTCTCATCCTGGTGGGCTATCACTGCACCTGACACGAGCTGGTAGTTCCCTGGGCCTGGAGATGGAGCAATAGACCCTTTCCATGGGGCTCTGGGTGAATTATCAGGTCCTTGTTAACCCTTTCCTGTCTCCAGAGAACAAGCTGGAGAAGAACGAAGAGGCAGCCCTCCTGTCCTGGGAGCTCTACCTGAAGGAGAACTACCTGCAGAACCAGCAGTACCAGCACAAACAGCGGCCAGAGCAGAAGATCCAGGACATCAGTGAGAAGTACAGAGGCCGAGAGCCATCCTCCGGGAGGGCCACCCTTAAAGCCATGCCACATAGTTCCAAAGCCATCCTAAGTGTGGTCCCATGGGGGAGGGCCTATGCTCAACTTGTGGGAGAGAAAACTGGATATCCTTGTGGCCAGACAGGCAAACAGGTCACTTGATTGTGATGATGAAGGTGGTGATGGTGGTGATGGTGATTATGATGATGATGATGGTACTGATGATGGTAGGGGCGGTAATGGTGACAGTGTTGATGTGACATGGTGACAACGGTACTAGAGCTGGTGGTTAGTGCTGGTGACAGTGATAATGTTGGAGATGATGGTGTTGAGATTGATGGTTCTGTTCCAGATAGTGCTGGTCGTTACAGTGACAATGACAGTAACATCGAGGAACCTCAATGAACCAGCTAACAACCACAACCCCTTCTGGGAGAGTTAGACAAAAATGTGCCACTTGTTTGAGTTTGGGTACAATGACATCCTTGGATGTTAGTCCTTGGAACGCCCTCTGCTTAGAACAGCCCTCACTGCCGTTGCCTTAAAGAGTCAGCCCTGCTTCCATACTCTCTGCCCTTACCCTTAAGTAATTCTGAAGGCTGGCTGACAGGTTGCCTGGTGTGTTGGATGATGGTTTCTCAGGCTCATTTGCGGTTTATTGGTAGAGTTGTAGGTAAGCTCATTGGTTGGTGAATGTATCAGTTGACGGCTTGGGAGTGGTACTGGTTAATTTCCAGTAGCTGTGATAAAACACCACGACCCAGGCAACTTACAGAAGAAAGAGTTTATTTTGACTTATGGGTCCAGAAGGTTTGTGTCCATAATAATGGGGACAGCATGGCAGCGGGTGGCAGGCATTTCAGCAGGAGCACAAAGCGGAGAGCTCATGTCTTGAACTTCCAGCACAAAGCAGAGAGAGCACATCTCAAAATCTACCTGTGACGTACTTCCTCTAGCAAGAATGGACCACCTAACCCTTCCCAAACAGGGCCATCTACTAGGGACCAAATATTCAAATGCCCAAGACATGGAGTAGGACATTTTTTTTTTTTTTTTTTTTTGGTTTTTCGAGACAGGGTTTCTCTGTGTAGCCCTGGCTGTCCTGGAACTCACTCTGTAGACCAGGCTAGCCTCGAACTCTCGAACTCAGAAATCCGCCTGCCTCTGCCTCCCAAGTGCTGGGATTAAAGGCGTGCGCCACCACCGCCCGGCGGGTAGGACATTTTTTATTTGAACCATCACAGTGTAGTATCCAGCTGTCCCTCCATGAGCTTCTTGAGAGCTGGGACAGAATCCTACAGGGTCCCCACAGTAATTGGCCCCCATCCAAAGCCCAGAGCCTGGCAGAGAGTTAGTGAATGCTGTGTGGTCCTTGATCTTTGGATCTTGCCCTGGCTGGCCGGCAGCAAGCTGGGCCATTGTGTTCTTTGCTGACACTACATTTTCATTGTCTTTAAAGGGCAGGTGCCCAGGTCCATGCTGCCTCTCAGCACCTGCTGTTACCTGCATTTGATTTTGAACAGTAGTTGTGCCCACTGCCCAGATACTGGGCTGTGTGGTATCCAGGGAGCTTCTGAAATGGGGATTATGTTTGAACACTCCCTCAGCAGGATGATCTTGAAGCTGGGTCTGTTGAAGTAATTATTTAAAACGGCTGCTAGTGAATCCCACTATCTAAGCTGTGGCGGCTCTGCCTAGCTCAGCCACCATGTTCTGTGGCCAGAGACCACGTCATCCGCAGCTAGAAATGGCCAGCCAGAAACACCAGCCCTGCCACCCACGAGACACCAGCATGGGAGATGGCTCTGCCAATCTTCCACACTGTCTCCGCAAGGCTGGACATTGCCCAGACCATCTCACTATCCACGCAGGCTCGGTACAAATGAGATGCTAATGCTTAGATTACCCAAAGGCTTTATAAATTTGGTAATGATCAATAACAAGATGCCCATACAATCAGAGGTGTAACCCAATACCCAACCTAGATATACCAACTACCTTTGACTGCCAGAGACACGCAAACATCTGCCTCCATGTTTCTCTCTCTCTCTGTTTCTCTGTCTGTCTCTCTCTCTTTCTCTCTGTCTCTCCTAGCTCCTCCTCTTCCTTCTCCTCCTCCTTTCCTTACTTCTCCTCTTCCTCTCCTTACTCCTCCCACCTTAGCTCCTCCTACATGGGTCAGTAGAGTCAGCAAGAAGGTTCTGACAGGCACAGCGTCAAAGGCTTGCTGTTGACTGAGAATACGACCTACACCCCTACCCTACCCAGCCCTTCTTACAAGGAGGTGTTGCTTCATCACTGCCATTGAGGCGACAAAGACTCAGAAAGGAACAGAAGAAGAACAGGCCAGTGTTTGCTACTGGTAAACAGTATACCCTGAATTTGGGGGCCTCTCCTGATTTTGTGCTCTCCTGCCTCAGGGAACTAGGCTGGCCCTAAAGAAGTCAACCACATGTACCCGCTCAGCCCTTATCCCAGATTTTCCTCCTTGTCAGGCACTCAGAATGGATCTGATGTCCAGTTTCTAGCATGGGGCCTGGAGTGGCAGTAATATCTAGCCTGCTAAGGTGTAACATCTTAGAACCTCTGGCTTATTGTCTAGAAATCTATGCGTACAGTAGGCAAGCTCTGCGAAGCAGAGAGAGACAAGAAATGATGAACAGGCAGTCCCTGAGACCTGGCAAGGACCTAGGCCTGGTCACTTTCTCGCTGGGGGCACTGTGAGGGATCTGAGACCCAGGGAGTCACCCTGCTGAGCTAAGTTGATTCCCAGCCCCTCACCTCCAGAGATTGCCTGGAAGTTTGGGGTTGCTGTCAATCTCAGTGGTTTCTATGTGTCACTGTGATTGAATCATGGGATTTCAAATATGCTGTAAGCATCACTCTTACATATTCACAAGGTTGTCTTGGGGAAGATAAAAAAAAAAAAAGACGCAAGTGTACCAGAATGTCTTTTGTGGACCGAAACAACACAATGTGTGGGAAAGCAGACATCATCACACACAGTGTGGTCCTTCGCTTCCCTTCCCTGAGTGGCTGTTTAAATTGGGTCACGTCCCAGAAACACTGAACAGATATCACCCTGCGGCTCCCTTTATTACAAAAGAATATTGCTAGCAGTTGGCACTGCAAGTGGGAGGAAGCAAAGGAATCCCTGGGCAAAACTAGGGAGGCAGGCAGGCAGGAATGCATGCAGGCAGGCCGGCGTTGACCTGCCATTGGTTTAACTATAAACACAGCTGGTCATGGAGGGGAGTGGGTCTTCTGGTTCAAACTAAACATTCCCCAACTGCCCCGCATTACACGCACCAGCTCAGCTGTCCCCCAAAGCCTTGTCATCTGAGGTGGCTTTCAGAGCTCAGCACCACGAGGCAAACCTAGACAAGTGGGCTGCTGTAAATGCCATCACCCCCTCCAGATGACACCTCTGATGGCCCATTGGGCTAGGCCACGTGAGCCTGGGTTGTCCGAGTGCTGGAACAGTTTGATTTTATGATACCGATGTGTGCTGTAGATACTTTCAAATGACAAGACACAGTATTGAAGTGAGAGCCGAAGGGAGGTCACACCCGGGCTGCTGGGTTTGGTGGGGTTGTCTGGAATTGGGGTCTCATTTGTCCATCTGTCCTCTTTCAGAGTGGACACCATGGTGGATCTGCTGGACATGGACCGTGTGAAGAGGTCAGGCTCCACAGAGCAGAGGCTGGCCTCCCTGGAGGAACAGGTAGGTAGGTTGGAAGTCGGGGCCTTGTGGGGCAATTTTATGTTGTGGTATGGTGACACTGAGACCAAGCACTTTGGGAAAAGATGCAGGAACAGATATTTGTAAGAGGGAGTAGGGAAAGTGTAGGGGAGGGAGGGAGAGGGAGAGAGAGAGAGAGAGAGAGAGAGAGAAGAGAGAGAAGAGAGAGAAGAGAGAGAGGTGGAAGAGAGAAAGAGAGAGGAGAGAGAGATAGAGACAGAGAGACAGAGCAGACAGAGACAGACACAGAGAGAGAGATCATTATCTATTGGAAGATTTTATTCCCTAAAAAAATTCTGCCCAATCCCAGCACTTGGGAGGCAGAGGCAGGTGGACTTCTGAGTTCAAGAGTTCGAGGCTAGCCTGGTCTACAGAGTGAGTTCCAGGACAGCCAGGGCTACACAGAGAAACCCTGTCTCGAAAAACCAAACCAAAAAAATAAAAATAAAAATTCTACCCAAGCCTTCTAACAAGGAGCCTCAGATTTGAATTGTGAGGCACCCATATTCAGTACGTCCCTGGTGGTCCCAGAGTATACACGGCTCCTCTCTCCACTTGAGACCACCCCTGAGACACTGATGTTTTGGGACTATATCTAAACTTTGGGGCCAGAGGCTCAACCCCCAAGTTCTCCTCCAAAGCTGCATAGTCCATCAGGATGCCTGGGCCACTTGGGGATTGAGGCCAGACCTCCAGGCCATAAACCACATGCAGTGTGGATCAAAGGAGGCCAACCTAGCCTTTTCTGGGATATACCATCCAGGTGACTCAGATGACCAGGGCTTTGCATTGGATCGTGACAACCCTGAAGGACAGTGGCTTTGGCTCGGGGGCAGGTGCGCTGACCCTGGGTGAGTATATGTTCTCTCAGGAGCTGTCTCCAACAGTCTGTGTGGTTTTGAGTCTGGGGGATGGGCTTGGAGGAGAGACAGCTACAGAGGCTTTGCTGAAGGAGGACTTTGGCTGGAGCTGTCCCCATGCCCCAGGAGGCAGACAGCCCTTACCTCCTCCTGTGAGCTGAGCAGGTCTCTCCTGGCTTGAACACGTTACTGGGCTTCTGGGGACAGCATGTCAGGCCTCCCTGACTTCTTTTTTATATCCTGCTGCAAAGTTGGGAGCAGGGAACAGTTCTGGGTGACTGAAGCTACCATGTCAATCAAGGCATAGAAATGAAAGCCTGCTTCCCTAAATGTTCAGCCAGTAAAGAAATGGACATGAATGGTCATGGTCTTCCTTAGGTGAGGCTAGCCTCTAGGGAAAAAATGTACGCCCCCTCCCATTAATTGGACAAGCCCTGTAGCAGCCGGTGATGTTAACCCACTATTGAGATATCTAAGGGTGACTTTAGTGGCAGGTATCTGCTAAGGGATGGTGACCTTTGTCCTTCCATGGCTGGGATCCCTGGGGTGGGAAGCGGGGTTGTTGGAACTGTCATTCAAACTTGTGACTCTTTCAAGCACCCCAAAGGGCCTTTGATGAACCAGATGCTGAGCTGAGTATCAGGAAGAAGGTAGAGGAACAAGGAGATGGTTACCACATCAGCGCCCGCCACCTCCTCTACCCCAATGCCCGCATCATGCGCTTCCCTGTGCCTAATGAGAAGGTGCCCTGGGAGGTGAGTATATCTCTCTTATGTACGCCATAGCAGGAGGTGTTAGGCTCTGGGGGAGGAGAAGAGGTCCTCTCATGTTCATGGTAGCCTCCACCCACCCCCTGGACATCCTCTCTGGTCATCTGAGCATTTGACAGATGAGATAACTAAGAAAGGCACATGGACAAGTCACATGGGCTGTACGGCCAAACTGTGGAAGGTTTGGTGAGGTATGGTGGCCTTAAGGAGTCACGGCCCAGGGATATGCTCCTGCAGCTTCTCACATGCTCCAGCTGATGTGTTTATAAAAAGATAAAGAGATAGAGGATATTCTATGGAGGTGTGGTGAGGTATGGGGGAAGGGGGTGTCTCAGTGGGCTCATGCCGAGGCATCCATTCCCCCTGAGCGACCAGCCACACGATGGTTTAGTATAGAATAGAGTTTATTCAGGGCATGGAGAGGGGAGTTAAGAGGGCCGTAGAGGCATCGAGAGCGAGAGGCAGAGAGAGCGAGAGAGCGAGAGAGAGAGCGAGAGAGCGAGAGAGCAAGAGAGAGAGAGAGAGAGAGAGAGAGAGAGAGAGAGAGAGAGAGAGAGAGAAGAGGCTGGCCATGAGCACATGGGGAGAGAGGGGGGAAGGGGCAAGGGATCAAGAGAGGGAGGAGGGGGAAGCAGCTCCTTTTATAGTGCTGCAGGGCCTACCTGGCTGTTGCCAGGTAACTGTAGGGCGGAGCTTAGACAGAATGCTAATATCAGCTGTCCTGGCCCTGCCATCCCATCCACTCCTCCTTGTTCTTGACACTTCAGTATCCAGTAAGCAACTCTCTCTCCCTTTGGAGTACCAGGCACAAAAGAAAGACCTCTAGACAGAGACAGGGATACTGGCACCTGGGGGTTCACCTGCTTGCGGGCTTGCCATTCCCACGTAGCCCCCAAACCATCCTGGAAAAGGTTCACACCATCCATGGTAGCGCTTGGGCCGGTCCCATGGGAGTGTTCATCTGGGGTCTCCTCCTCAACTCTACCGGGGCTGGGAGATACCCATGCACACTGGCGGGGACTTTGGTCCCGGTTGGATAGTGGTCTTGGCTGAAGCTGCTCTTGGGCCCATTTGTAGCACTCAGACCTAGCTCGCCTAGGAGTGGGATGGGACCCCGAGGGAGCTCATTTGCTGTCTTACAGGCGGAGTTTCTGATCTACGACCCTCCATTTTACACAGCTGAGAAGAAGGATGTGACTCTCACAGACCCTGCGGGAGAGTGAGTGGCCCCTTCCTCCACAGGGATCCCAGAATTCACATGGGGGCAGGCCTGGGCAGGTTCTGCCTCATCTGACCCAGGGATCCCAGAGCAGCTCTTCCTGTCCTGGATACAACTCATTCTGGCAATGGGGCATGAGCTGTGGCCAGAAGCCCCTCTCAAAAGAAAGGCCTGGGTGACTGAAGTTGGGCCACCAATGGAGGCTGAGCCCCTGTCCCTCTGTGTCTCTACTCTGCCATAACCTCCCTCTGACAGGGACATGTCCTTTTGCTTGCTCCCAGCACGGCAGAACCTCTGTCTAAGATCAGTTACAACGTCGTGGATGGACCCACGGACCGTCGCAGCTTCCACGGAGTCTATGTGGTCCAGTCTGGGTTCCCTTTGTGAGTATGCTGCGCCTCAGCTGGCATCAGTAAGCTGGCCTTTGGGGTGAATTTCTCTCTGAGAATTTCTCTCTGGCAAAAGCAAACGAGAAAAGGAAACTCGGTGTGTGCGGTTTCCTCAGAGTCTGCTCAGAATCTTTCCCTGGAAGGTCCTTGGGCCTACCCCAGCAGTGTCCCAAGTGCACGGGTCTATTGAAACCCGGGGGCTTCAACGTATGGTCAGAAACTCGAGGACCATAGTCTGGTCTGCAGAGAGCACTCCGCCGCTAGAGTGTGTTGTAAAATATATTTTAAAAATCCTGCCACGGGGTTCCTTCCCGACTTTGACTATTTATGTTCCTGGATGAAAGACACACAGAGCTTTTATGTTTTTAAATATGTCTTATGTAGCACTATAGCTGAGCAGCTGCCTACCCTCCGTGCTGTTAGAATCTACCTCCAATCCATAACCCCAATATTGCTTTCTATGTTCCCTCTTGGCTGATCTTAACTCAATTGGGCCACATTCTCTTGGTCCAGAGCCATGACGACTCTCCTTGCTTCGCTATCCCTTGGCTCTGTCTCTCACTGCCCGGCTTCCTCCTCCTCATGGTACCCAGCCCTGGGGAAGCCTAAAACCCCGCCTATGTCTCTTCTTCCCAGCTATTGGGCGCTGACATCTATATTGACCAATCAGAATTAACTGGGGGCAGACTCTCTCGTCTTCGGGGCAAACAATTTTGGAGGATGCAAATTAGTATTAGAATACAAGCTGCCTTAGGCCAACCCACTACAAGAGCTGGTGTGTGGCTGGTGGGCCCACATTAGGGATGGTAACCTTGCCCAGCAACTATGATGAGCCAACAGCATAAGTATGCATACATTCCCATAAATGCCACTGTGCTTCCAGACCGGGGTATGGCCAGCAGGGGGAGCAGTGGAGCAGAGTATGCCGAGGGGCCTGAGGGAAGGGGGAGGCGTGCATTTTGGAGAAAACTCTAGAACAGTGAGTGGGCTACTGTCCCTGGAGTCAGAGGTTGTATACGGTGGCGGCAGTGGAGGGGTAGCCTGAAATAGACCAGGGCTCTAGCCTGCATGTCTGCACGATGGGGCCTTGATGGACGGGGCGAAGACAGCTTAGGAAGCAATGTCAGTTGCGAGTTGAGTGACAGGGAGGAGGAGCAATGCTCAGGTGACGGTACATACCTGCTGTCATGACAGCTGTGTGGAAACATGAGCAAGAAGGACCAGAGAGGACTTTGGTCTCCCTGGACCACTCCCCATTTGAGGCGGGGTCTCTGCATGAGACTGGAGCTCAGCAATTGGCTAGCCTGGCTGTCCGTCATTTTCCTGTCTCTGCCACCCCTGGGATTACAGTGTGTGCTTTTATGTTCACCTTTTTTTTTTTTTTTTTTTACGTGAATTCTGAGGATTTGAACTCAGTTCTTACGCTTGCATGGCTAACACTTTTCCTACCAAGTCTCCGTTCAGCTCTAATAATTCTTTTGCATAATAATACACTTATGTATTTAGGACTCACAGACTGCTTTTTTTTTTAATTGTATTTCCTAGATATAGCTTCCATCTGTGAAATGATTGTCTAAGTCTGTTTTATGTTGCCCATAATAGAATACCAAAGACTAAGTAGGTTATGAAAGAAAGAAAAAAAAAAAGAACGTTGATTTTGGCTCGTGGTTCTGGCTCCAGGTCAGGGGCTCACATCCAGGGATGCCTTCTTGCTGATGAAGGCAGTGGCCGTGCAGGATGTCACATGGGTAGGATAGTCTGTGAGGGCAGTCACCTCCTGAAGACCCCCACCTGACCCCAACGCTCCACAGATCTCATGGTGGGGTGGATTCCACGGGAGCGTTGGTGGGGTAGAAACGCAGATCATAAGGAAACATTGTCCTCTTTTCTAGTGTTTGAAGTAACTGTTCCTAGTTGACCACATAGCTGGAGGTAGTGGGAGCGGGGTATGCAAGGCAGAGAAGGAGCTGGGCCAGTCAGCTTTCTATCGTTATGAAACACCCAGGACAACCAGCCGAGAAACAGAGAATTCTCACTGTGGCCTCAGTTTGAAAGCTTTTAGTTCAAACTCAAGGTGAGACCCTGATGGCTCTGTGGGAAGGAAACCCCATCATGGCAGGGTGTGTGGAATAGAGAGAACTGCTCCTCTCATGGCTGGGAAGCAAAGGGGGAAGAGGAATCTGGGGTTCCTCAAAGGACATCCCGATGACCTAAGTCTCCCATCAGGCCTCGCGGCGCTTCCAAAGGGCTCTACCTCCCAGTGGCTCCATGCCAAGGCCAACCTATCCATCAGGTGGCAGGGGACACCAGGACCTCAGCTGAGCAGTGGGGGATGGGAAGGGAGGGAGGGTCACAGAGGGCACTAGGAACGCTGAACTGCCCACAGGGTGGGTCTTGTCAGCTGGCAGATGTGGAGCGGTGGGCAGGGAGAGTCCTATAGACAGGAGACTGTTTGTCCTGTGGTGGCACCAGGGTGTGTCTCTCTGTTTTGGGTATGACATGAAGCCATGACAACCACCGATTCTTAGTCCTGACTTAGAACGGGGTCTAGTGGTGAGAAAGGGGTCCTGGCCCAATGAGAGGCACCTGTGCACTCCTGTTGCCTGCGGTTAACCCTCCGTGTGCCAGGAGCATAGTGAGTCCATGTAGCTACAGCCTCGTTCCTTCAGCTTGGCTTCAAGAGCAGTCACCTGTCATTTGTGATCCCAACCAGCAGACATAGGCCTCTGGGTGTTGACCCTACCTGTGAAGGAGGGCTGGCCATGGTGGTTGCACACTGACTAGAAGCCCTGGCTTTGCCCTGTGGAGAGCCTTGAAGGGGCAGGACAGGTGGTCAGGAGCGGGCATACATGTTCTCTGCTATGCCTGTTGTGACTTGGCCCCACCCATCCAACGTCCCTGCTCTTAACCGCCCCATCATGTGCAGTGGCTAAGCCAACCATTTCTAACCTAGGAACCCCATGGGTCGCACGGGCTTGCGTGGTCGTGGGAGCCTCAGCTGGTTTGGTCCTAACCATACTCTGCAGCCAGTGGTTACTCGGTAAGCACCCTGTCTGCCATCTGCACCTTGGCTCCGAAGGTGCTCCCACCTCCACGAGTTCTGAGGGCCTAGAGGATGGCCTTTGTACTTGATATCTTGTCGACCCTGTGGGAAAACACAGACATATACGCTGTACCCCACTCTCTCTGAGAAAGCCCAGACTATCCTCTTTCCCCTGGAGGCTGCCTAAGTTTTTTTAGGGTAGTCCTTTAGCCCTACTAGGGCTGAGAAAAACTGTGTTTAGAGCCTCTACTAAAGAGAAGAAGTTATAGAAAAAAAAAAAAAGCAAAGCCTACCCATAATCCCCCTGGGTCTAGCCTACCTTCTGGGCGAATGTTGACCAGCTGCACTTGGGGGAATCCTCCGGGTTCTAGCCCAGGCTGTATGGGGCCCAGCAAGGCACTGGGCTCTCCAGGCAGTGCTAGTGAGCTGTGGCCTTGGACAGCTGGGTCAAAGGCTGGGGATGGATGGTACCTCTGTGGCCTCTGTCTCCATTCTGCCTGGGGACTGGGTGTTTAGGAAAGAAGATGGGGGTTGGGGTGGGTGGGGTGGAGTGGGAACATGGAGGGGTGGAGGTGGAGGTGGAGGGTGTGGGGGAGGTGGCAGAGGGTTTGATGCTGCTTCCGGGCCCAGCCAGTCCTTGTCAGGTGCTCTGCACAGGGCACCTGTGGCCGTGCAGCTGTAAGTGGGCCCCCTGCGCAGGTGGAAGAGGAATCAGGGTGGAGCCATCTGCCGGAAGAGCATCAGGAAGATGCTGGAGGTTCTGGTGATGAAGCTGCCTCACTCCGAGCACTGGGCCTTGCCTGGGGTAAGCCAGATGTCATAGCTGTCTATCCCACTGTCTGCCTGAATACAGCAGCCTGAAGTCACCAGCAGAGACAGTGACAGTCCCAGTCTCCCATGGTCCTGGATGAATTCATGTGGCTCAGTGCCTCGTTGGAGTGCCCTCCCTGGCTTCCCCATAAGCTCACGCTCTGGTGTATCCTAAGCCAGGCTTGCTGGGATGTTGGAGCTCTCAGCTCGTGGCTAATTCACAGTGGCTCAGACATGGATGGCTTATCCCGTTCCAGACTCTTGAGTCGAGCCCTGAAGGCAGAAGGGTGTTGTTTATGGGTTAAGGGTGGAGTGTTGCACAGGCCTTGGGCTGGGGAACAGCTGCTGGCTGTAGGGCTGAACTTGAGAGGGCACCACCGAGGCCATTTGGGAATGGCAGAATCGGGATGCAGAGGCCCAGGCTATCCATGCCAGTGTGAATCCACATTGTTCATTTTCTTCTGGATCAGTTTATCCTGCCTGCCCTCCCCTCCCCAAGCAGGCCTGGCACAGGGCAGGGATCAGAGCTTGTCCTGCTAGTAGGGATCAAGTGCAGCCTGGGATGTCCCTCCTCTGTCCCTATTCTCTGAGCCTATGGTCTTCCCAAACTCAACAACAAGCTGTCCTCCTTTGAAGACCTCTGTCTACGGCTGTCGCTCAGTGGCTGCTTTGGTAGGGACACACGTCCCGGTAATGGCATGGACAGTAGTGTCAGCCAGAGTCTTCAGGCTAGAGAAGTTGCAGGGCAGCATCTGGGTCTTCTGATGCTCAAAGCCTAGTGGCAGGAAGCAGGCCGAGGGGACTGGGGACAACCACCAGTGAGGGTATAGCGCCCGTCCCTCTCTGGTGCCAGGATGGTGGGAGGTGGTGACAGGACTCATTTGCCTTTATGGAGTCATCGTGGCTACCCTTGCTCTATTTTAGCCCCGTACCCTGCCCAGGCTGTGGTCTGCTAAGGCAGATGGTGATCTGGACAGTGTCACTCAGCTAGCCAGCTGACTCCGGACTGACAGACACTGCCGCCTCCAGCCTTCCGCGGGACTGGCTGGCTGCCTACACTAGGCAGGTGGCCAGAGGTGATGGGCTCCTGGGTTGTCCAGGATCCAGCTTGCATGCCTTTCTGACTGGCCTTCCCTTCCTCTCTTCTCAGGGCTCTCGGGACCCAGGGGAGATGCTACCACGGAAGCTGAAACGGGTCCTCCGGCAGGAGTTCTGGGTGGCCTTTGAGACCTTGCTGATGCAAGGTACAGAGGTAGGGTCTGTTCCTTATTCAATAAGCCCTGTGTGTTGGACTCCTGTGCTCCCTGTGCAGTGAGTCTGGTATGTTGAGCCCCTGTGTGGAATCCCCGTATGCTAAGTGATGATGTCTTGGATTCTTAGGCAGGGGTCTGCTTCTTTATAGGACTATTCACTAGCCAGACTGGACAGCTCTCAGTACACAGTCATGGCTGTTCCTGATGAGCAGTCTGTGATGTGCTTTCTCCCAGCATCAGAAACACTGTATTCAAGTCCAGATGTACAAATTCATCTCTGTTTGTTGGGACTATCTGTGGATACAATGTAACCAATTTCCACAGTTCTCTGGGGAGGGCAGTCCAGCTGTTCTGTATCTCCGAAGGAAACAAGAGTGGTGGCTGGTGACTCCTGTTGTCGCCTGGAAGCCCCACGATTTTAGATGGCATCCTTGGCACAGTGCCTCAGTGGACACCCCTGCCTCCTCTAGGACAATCAAAAAAATAATTTCTGTTCTTACTGGTGTAAAATTCATATAATGTGAGTCTGGAATGCCCCGTGACTAAACACAGACACACCCAGAAGCAAAGCTGGAATGTCTGCACCTCACCCTCTTTGAGAAAGTCCAGGCCATCTCCTCTTCCCCCAGAGGCTAAGTTTCCAGGGGTCATTCCTTAGCCTGACTGGGGGCTGACAGAGACTTTGTCTAGAAGGAGCAATTTCCTTACATTTATTCTCTTCTCACACTCTTGTGACCACGGCCCATATCTAGTTCCAACATGTGTCATCCCCCACCCCAGAGACATCTGTCCTCATCTCTGGAATTGTTCTGAACTCTCATTTTGAACGGGGTTATATAGCAGTGGCCTCTGCTGGCTGGGTTCTCTCTGAGAAGAGTCTTTGAAGATGAAGCCTCTGGATACCCAGTGTAGGCAGGAAGGTCTTATGCTTGACTTGTGCCAGAGGCCAGGTGTGGGGTCAGGAAGCTGCGGGGCCTGAGGCTGGTCAGGGAGAAAACATGTCCTGGGCAGCCTCGAGCAGGGACATGTCAGGGGTTGAATAGGATAGTCAGCCATGTTCAAATCCTGCCCCAGGAGGCCCTCCCTCCATGTGGATCTGAGCTCCTCTATGGTGAGCTTGGGGAATCAGGGACCCATCACCGGACCAGCTAACTTACCCCTGCCGTGGTCTCCAGGTGTACAAAGGGTATGTGGATGACCCAAGGAACACAGACAATGCCTGGATCGAGACGGTGGCTGTCAGCATCCACTTCCAGGACCAGAACGATATGGAGCTGAAGAGGTTGGAAGAGGTATGAGTCCCAGCCTCCAGAGCAGGATGCATGGGGAAATACTCTGGACACGTTTCAGGGACTTCTCAGTAGTGGTCTGTCTGCCTGGGGTCTTGAGACAGAGCTGCCCACGGCCGCGGAGGCTAACAGGCAGATTCGCATCCTGAAGAGACCAAAGGGCACCAGGAAGAGGCCAGAGAACCACAGTAAAGGCTGAAGAGTGGGCCTGGACCAGGGTGGTTTAGTGAGAAAGGTATATTAGTCATTTTTCTGTGTATTAGTTATATTGCTATGAGCAAATATTTGAGAAAAAGAAACTTAGGGGAGAGTCTCTCTTGGTTCACGGTCAATCCTGACTGGACAGTCACTCCATCGGGAGCATGAAGCACCTGGTCAGATCGCGTCTGCAGTCAGGAGTAGGCATGAATGCTGGAGCGTTATCTCAGCTTCTCCTTACATATCCCACAGTCTTGTTTCCAGGAACCGTGGGGCCCACATTCAGAAGTGGGTCTTCCTTTCTTACTTAATCCAGTCTAGATATCCTCTCACGGGCTTGCCTGGAGATTTGTCTCCAAGGTGATTCTAGATCCTGACGAGTTGATGGTCAATATTAACCACCACGAAAGGACTCGAGGATTATGTCCAGAGAGAGGTGGGCGTGGCCTTCTCCACTCCCTGTGTCCTCTTTATGGGACATATGTCCACGGGCTCTCAGAGCAGGTCTTCATACTGCTGATATAAAACTAGGGTGGGAAAGTACCACTCTGTGAAATCCAGATTGTCCTGGCAGAATAAAGGTCTCTAAGTAAGGTCACACCTCTCCATTTGTTTGGGTGTATAGGGTTAGCTCAGGTACCCAGAGTGGGAACCCTGTGTCATACATGTTGTGTTGGAATCGCGGCTCGCATCCGGACGGACCACACCGAGCCAATTCAGTTACATGTGGC